AAAAAAAAAAAAAAAAGCTTGAACATGCTCTGGGCACTTGTAGACACTTGGATATTTGGACATTGGACAGTATCAAAAAAGCTTTTGGATAGTCAAAATATATAACACTGCAATAGAGGTTATTTAGTCAAAATTTGAAGATATTAGCAATTTTATAGTAAGGGACACATAGTACGAAGGGTACTATATAGACTAATCTTTTCTTATTTGCAAATATATTTTTAATTTTATTTTTATATTAATCAAATAATATAGCTAGCTATATTAAAAACCCTATGTTGCTATATTATAATATTAAAAAAATTTATTAAATTTTTTAATATTAAACTAAGATTAAAAAGATTTACTATATATTTAAATTTATAGAAATTAGTTCTATTAATAAAATTTTATATTACATTATACTATATGAGGATAAGTTAATAGAAAAAGAACAATTTTTTTTAAATAAAAGTTTTATTAATTTTAAGCTTAAATATTTTAACAACTATCTTATTAAATTTAATGAATTTTTTTTTATTTTAATTTTATATAATTTTAAGATTAAAATAAAAAAATTTTAACAAATTTGATTAAATAATTTTTAAGATATTTTAAAAAAATTCTATTAAAAATGATTTGTCTTTTTTCTACTGACTTACCTCTATATACTATATACTAGAGATATTACTAATAATAATACTATATATAGTGAATTTCATCTAAAATTATTATCTTTTAATTATAAGTTTTTTTAAATTGTTATAATTCTTTAAAAGAAAATAACTAATAAACACTACAGGTAATAATCACTTGTGATTTATAATATATAATTTTGTATAATGTAAACAAATAAATAAACAATTTAGAGCAGTGTTATATATCATCTGATTATTTTTTATCAGAGGCTTACTCCTCTTTCTCCTCTTAATATAAAAAAAAATTAGGTTCTTATATATAATTTTAACTTTTTTTTACCCCTCTTCCCCCTAAAAAATCATCTGATTTTTGTCACGTCCCTTAATAAATAAAAAAATATTTTTTTTGAAACTTTAGAGTAAGGGTCAGAGAAAATATTAGGGTTAAAGTTTAGTAAAATTTATAGTAAAATTTTACAAGAAATTTTTTTACTTAGAGCCTTAAAAGTGGTTTTATAAGCAAAATTTTAAGATAATTTTATTATAGATAATAATTATCTGTGATGTAAATTAAAAATTTCCTTTTTAAAAACAAAATTTATTTAAAATGTTTTTTGATAGTTTGTTTAAACTATTAAATCATCAAAAAAAATTTTGAATATCTTTTACTTTTAAACTGTTGTATTAATTTAAATTTATATATAATTCAAAATTTTAACATTTATATATAAAAAAAACATAACAAAATTTGAATTTATTAACAAAAATTCAAATTTTATTAATAATTTTTAAAATTGTATTAAGTTTTCTGCATTTTTATTGGATAATTAGGTTACATTATAGCTAAAAAATTGATGTTTATATAAAAAATATGTTGGCTTTGGGTGAAATCCACTGTATAAATAGCAAATCTTTATTTGGTATTAGTAAAAAAAATAAATATTTGATATTATTAAATATATACAATAATTTGTATATACGTATATACTACGATTAGTACTGTAAAATATATATTACAGTATATACGTATTTAAATAAGTTAATACGTACGTATTAATTATTTCTATTCTATATAAAAATACAATAAGTATACGTATACAGTATAATATAAAGTATATACATTATCTTTTGCCAAATAAAGTAAAATTAGTAGAATTACAATTTATATAAAGTATTGTTAATATGTATATATTTCTGTTAATGGTTTAAATAAACAATATATAAAATTTCAATTATTATAATTTTTTTCAAGAAAATTCTATTACTGTAATAATAAAATCTGCAAGGTTTAAATATCAAAGTTTTTAATTTTTAATTAAAAGTAAAATCGATATAGAGATCATTTCAACTGCGATTGAATCCCGATTTTAAGAACACGTGTTTAGAAAAACGAATTTTAATCAACATTAATATGATTCTTTTAATTTTTTTTTTTTTTGTTTGTTTGACATGTAATGCTCATGGTCAAAAAAAATAGATCAGATATGCAAATGGGGCTTTGTACAAGTTTTCTAAGCATCTTATATATCTTTGGCCGATACATCAAGATTGAACATTTCACCGTTACTCAGTGGACCACTCCTTTAGATATTTTAATATTTTCCGAATAAAAACGTAGCAAATATCTATCTTAATAAGGAAAAAAAATACATGAGAAAAGCGTTCATTACACTCGCTATGTTATTCAAGAAAAATGGTTTTTTAACCACAAAGTTGCTTCGAACAATCGCATTATTCATGTATTAGTTAAATATCACCTTACAAATCAGGGGATTATCAATTTATCACATAAACTATGTATAGAGTGTAAAACCTGAAATTTACAATATAGTAGAATTTCTATGAATATCTTTGCTTATAATGATAGGCAATCCCAACACCAAATAACAATATCATATTTATCACATAGTAAAGGTTTCATCCGAAATTTTTAGATGACGTCGTGTATATTATTAGTCCAACTGATAAACGTCGATGAATTGTAAAAAAAAGATATATAAAAGTCCCTGTGATTTAACAAGCCTCTTTCGTAAGCTGGTTTGGGTGCAAAAAAAAAGTATATATATTTAATAAGTTACAAACCACCTGCAGAGCTACTCGAGATCACTGCCTTGAGACTATATACGAGACTCTATACCTAACACTGCTTCGACTTCTGTAATCTTGAGCTACCTATTATTTTAAACTGCCACTAGGGTCTGAATGTTTGACTAAATCTACTTTTTATGGTATTGACCATCTTAACTGACTATTTTTTCCTTTATTTTAGCCCTATTAAATAAATACCAGAATTTTATAAAGCAATTAAAGGACGCCATAATCCGAAGTAACGGCAATAATGATGGCGACCTCACACGCTTTCCCACCTGAAGAAAGTTTACCTCATCCTCCACCTATTTTTCCGCAACAAATAAATCCAAAACAGGCTGTAATTTACAACAAGTCGGGCACGAAGTGTATGAACATTGTAAAGGAACCTTCCGGAACGCCTTTGTCACCGACTTCACCGCCTTCAAAAGATCCTGGCGAACTTGCTCCTTCTCATAGCTCACAAAATAGTAACGGCGCCGCAAAAAAGAAAAAAAAGAAGAAAGGCAAAAGAAAGCCTCCTCCAGATCACATTGAAGATCCCGATATCGCTAATGGAACCCATAATCAACATACAAAGTCTCATCACACTATTTACAATAGCGATTTTGATGGAGAAGAGGTCGTTGATGTGGATATAGAAGATGATGAAGAGTTTTTCTCGGATGATGAAGGGTACGATCCTGAAGCTCCGGAAATACCTTTCCCGCGTAAAGATTCTCTCACTAATATTGACGGTGATAATCACCATGTTCCTTCTACGCCTGCGAAGAAAAAGAAGAAAAAGAAGAAGAATAAATCTGCCCTTTCAATCAGTCAAATGGCAGATATCCACAATCATCCTCATCATAACCATAATCATAAATCTCGTAAAGACGGTATCTGGAATACCAATAATAATGAAGAACGACAACGGATAAGAGAATTCTGGTTGCAATTAGGTGAAGAGGAACGACGGAGTTTAGTAAAAGTCGAAAAAGAAGCCGTACTTAAAAAAATGAAAGAACAACAGAAACATTCATGCTCATGTTCCGTATGTGGTCGAAAGAGGTTGGTGGTATAACAATGTT